GGTTTGGGGGTGTATTGTGAAGAGGTGAAGATGATGAGAGAGCAAAGTGTGAAAAAAACCTGCCAGCAGATGGGGAAGGCTCTCTTCCCTCCTCTGTTTGTTATACACATGCCAGTGCATTTTCTGCTCCCCTGTTTCCTCAGCCTCTCCCCATGTTGCCTCTCCCCATCCCTACCCTCCATCTAGAAGGGCATACACAAGTAGATAACTCCCTTGGATCAATACTTCAGAAAAGGGATAAGAGAGCTATGCTGCTGTTGGCTTCTTCGTATCTCACAGGCAGAGGGGACCAGAGACCCTCAGCGAGGCAGAGGGTTCCCAGCAGCGCAGGGCAGATGCTGTGCTGTGCTGGGAAAACTGAATTAATTTGAATTTTTTGCAGTGGGCGACCTTCAGGAAACTCTGTGTTATAAGGAAAGCTGCCAGAGCTCCTGGAATGGGCAGGAATAAGGGCAGGGGCAAAACACGGGCTTTTGTAAAAAACTGTCCTAATGAGTGTGGTTGAGGGTGACCAAAAACTCCAGTAAGCACTTTAATAATTTCCAGACCAAATGCGTAATTCATAATATTTGGGTGACCTTACTTTTTTTCAAGTTCTAAGGATGCTTTGCAGGAGTGCACACTGCTTTTCTAACGATATCTGATTTGCTGCTAGCCAGTCACCACCAATTAAAAATGGCTGTAATATTGCTGCTTTGCTCGGAGCAGCGTGGGACAAACCAAGCTGACCTTGCTGTTGTGTTAGTAGCCCAGGGCACTCTTTCTTCAACACAGTCCACATTGCTCAAGACTTTCCAGCATACTCTATGTGATCCTCAGATCCAGATAAACACACCTAAATATAGAAGTTTGCTTGTAGGTGGGTACATGTGTGCTACGTGTCTATACTTCCAGTATAGCTGGTTGAGAACTAGGGCTTAGTTCAGCAGAGTACACAGAGGTGTCCCTTGTTACATGATATTCCCTGCTCTCCAGAGACTCCTCCTGAAGGGCACAGCCTTCCCAGGTCTGAGGGCATAACTGACGGACCTAGGGGATGTCTCAGATACCTTAGGGCATCTCAAATGGCACTGAACATATAAATTTGGGCAGCTGAATCAAGCCTTTTTTTGTACCAAGCCCAGAGCACGAGTCAGCTGAGCAGCCAGCAGGAGCCTTCCGGAGGATTAGCTGTGCCTCTCTCAGCTGACGTGATTTCCTTGTGCCACACGGCGAGTTCAGGCACCTGCTTCACATGTAGGCACCTAAATTTAAATGTCTTCACATGGAGCTGAATCCCACCCCATCTACTTTTCTAACGTCCATTAGAATTTGTGATGTCTTTAACTCTTCCTGGTAAGTTACCCTGTTTCCCAATTCTCACCCAGACCTGCTGCATCTGGTTGCTGTGCTCTTGAGGTTTGTACAGTGCAGAGATGCCCTAGGATGCTTTACCTATTTCTGGCTCTTCCTGGTCTCTGAACTTGTTGGATTGACATCTAGAAGCAAATCCAGCTTTTTGGTAGCCAGTTATATAGTAGCCACCTATGATCCACCTATGCAGTAGCCAAAGGCATTTTAAAATGCCATAGCATAAGACAGGCAGGAGGTCCGCCTATGTCCAACAGTGACACCAGTCAAAAGTGAACAGTCAGGAAGACTACACAAGCAGGGCAAACATACAGCAATATTTCTTCACAAGAGTCTCTCAGCCTCCAACAGCCTGCTACTTGGAGATGTCCTGAGCCAGAAGTGGGCTCTTGGTATTAATTAGCCAGGTATTAAATTTTCTCCCATGAGATCATCCTGCTGGCTTTGAACCCATGTAAACTTTTAGTATCTTGTGACAAGGATTTCCACAATTTAACAGGACACTCATAGAATCATAGAATCATAGGTTGGAAGGAACCTCAAAGATAATTCAGTCCAACCTTTCTAGGTAAGAGCACAGGCTAGACAAGATGGCCCAGCATCCTGTCCAGCTCCTTAAACCACAGATTGTCTTAGTATAGTAATAAGAGGGCAAAGCCATCCATAGGTGATTTCAGAGAAGCCCAGGATGTCTGCAGACAAGGGGTTTTGAACCTCAAGTTACTTTGGTGGCTGAGCAGAATGAACCGAGGCAGTTTCCCACTGCACTGGAGCAGGCTAAGGAAAGAGTCTCTTGCTTGTAGGTACAGCTAGTCTCTCTCGCCGCTCGCCTGTGGGGAGCCTTTTCACTTACTGGGTTGTTCCTGACTTGTAGAAGCTATGCTTGGGACAAGATGAGTGTTCATACCCGACACAAAAGAAGCAAAACTCACGTCAGCAAGAAATTATTTTCAGGAAGTTCTTCACTAGCAAACATGGGTTTAGATTATCCTCACATATAACACCACAAAATCCTAAGATTTAAACCACGTGTTTCTTTCCAAAGGCTCTTTAAGTTTTTCACAGAAGGTCAGGAAATTAATGACGAGGGGATGAAGTAACACAGCACTTGTTCTGTCCCTTTCCAATCCCTGCACACCACCGTGTCTGCCCCAATCATCGTAAAAGAACATTATGCCTCCTTGAAGCATCCATGTGCCTTCACTGTGCTTCCTCTCCTTGTCTCCCTTTAAATGCTGTTCTGGCTCAAAGAGCAGTTGGCTGATTAGTTCATGCAGAACAGACTCGCTCTCACAGTTTGAATCTGTGACCTGAAGAAATAAATCCTAACACTTGCTGGGCTTCAACAAACTTTCCAGGCTGCCAGCTAAAAGAATGCTTCTGAGTACCCAGCACTGTATTTCTTCCTTTCCAGGAAAGGGTACATCATGGGAGCTGTGTCCAGAAACTACGTGCCTCAACCACACAGTGTTTGTACTCATAGGAAACTTGTATGCGTGCTTGTAAGTCCAGTGCCGCCGGACTTTCACTGGGGCTGCTCTACTTTTTCTTACCTTTGTTTTCTTTTTTGCCTTTTCATAGGGAAGTTGCCATGGGAAAAGATGCAAAGGGAAAAAGTTCTAGTCCATCTACTGACTTGTACAGTTTTCTACATCAGGCTTCAACACTCCTACAGGAGGTTCCTTCAACACTGCTCCTCTTATCCATGTTTTTAAATTTACTACCCTCAGTTTTCATGCTGAAGGCTCCGGAGGCAGTTTTTGACACCAGCCCTGACCTCACATCCCTAACTCAAACAGGAATCTCAGTGCTTTAGATTCCCACCCACCGCAGGAGTCGTCTCTCTTTTGTCTCCTCATTCAGCTCATGTACATGTACGTGTTATTTATTGGTACTTGGACATTAATGTTTTCTGTAATATATTTCTTTCAGACATCATTGTTCTCATCGCTTCAATAGCAGTTGTTTCTGCAAAAACTCAGGGTAACATTTTTGCAACATCAGCACTGAGAAGTCTTCGTTTCCTACAGATCCTTCGTATGGTGCGCATGGACCGAAGAGGAGGCACTTGGAAATTATTAGGTTCAGTAGTTTATGCACATAGCAAGGTATGTAATCCTAGATGCTGATTTTGTCTGGCTGGTATCTTCACTTGATGTGATTCAGCAAGAGGCCAAAAACCCAAACATTTATCAGTTTTGAGCAGAATACCTAAAATTTTCTAAAGTGACATCAGTTGTAATGGGCATTAGCACAAATACATCAAGCCATGTTAAATGCGAACAGTTTTTAGAATATATTGGAAATGTTGTATTTGATATGCTGTTGTAATTCAATAGCTATTGGTGAAGTTGGAGTGTCAAACTAGAGGAGTAGACTCGGTCCAGTTTTAGAGAAGATTTGCATCTTTAGAGAAGCATTTTTCTTCTAACTGCTCACATGCCAAAAAAACTATATAGATATTTTCATTATGTCTTCCTTGAAATTCTGTTCAGTCTTTCAAATGGATATTGATCTTTGATTTCTTTTATCTAGGAATTAATCACAGCCTGGTACATAGGATTTTTAGTACTCATCTTTTCATCTTTCCTGGTTTATCTGGTGGAAAAAGATGCAAATAACCAATTCTCCACGTATGCAGATGCTCTCTGGTGGGGCACAGTAAGTACAGAAAAATAATATGCACTGTTTAACCAGTATGCTGGCATGCTTTGAATTTCACCTACTGTGGATTTTAACTTGGTGTGCTGTTCAGTGAATTGTTTTTGCTGGCAGAAAACTAGCCTGAGAAGTTCCCTCCTCCAGCTTTTCATTTGCACATCCACAGTTCATTTCACCCCACCCTGCAGAACAGCCCTTTATGTGTTTCTGCTGCAAACCAGAGCACTGAACCTTCAAGAGAAGAAAGCATTTTATTTTTTAACCCAGACCCATTTGGCAATACAGTTTGTAATATGGTCCCACAAAGAGCTGCTTTGATCCAAATCAGAGGGCTGTAAGCTGCAGTGCAGGAAGAGGAACAAGTGTCAGGAAAGAAAAAAGGAAGGCATTCTTATATCAGCTTTATGGTGAAGGGAAGAGTATCATCAGCGCCCTTAGAATGACAGTGTTTCTCCTTCCTCTGTACCCTGAGCACAAAAAGCAAGAATAAATATTCCCTTTCTGGATCAGTAGTGTTCTCCAATTATTTTTACAGGTGTAAAAGCCCTGATTTAGTTGAGCTCATGTTTAACTATCAAATC